TGTGTTAGTTTCTGCTGTATAACAAAGTGGATCAGCTATATGTATACATATACCCCCATATCTCCTCCCTCTTGCGTCTCCCTCCCACCCTCCCTATCCCACCCTTCTAGTTGGACACAAAGCACCAAGCTGATCTCCCTGTGCTATGCGGCTGCTTCCCACTAGCTATCTATTTTACATTTTGTAGTGTATATATAAGTCCATGCCACCCTCTCACTTCGTACCAGCTCACCCTTCCCCCTCCCCGTGTCCTCAAGTCCATTCTCTATGTCTGCGTCTTTTTCCTGTCCTGCCACTAGGTTCTTCAGAAGCATTTTTTTTTAGATTCCATATATATGTGTCAGCGTATGGTATCTGTTTTTCTCTTTCTGACTTACTTCACTCTGTTTGACAGTCTCGAGGTCCATCCACCTCACTACAAATAACTCAGTTTCATTTCTTTTTATGGCTGAGTAATATTCCATTGTGTATATGTGCCACAGCTTCTTTATCCATTCATCTGTTGATGGACATGTAGGTTGCTTCCATGTCCTGACTATTGTAAATAGAGCTGCAATGAACATTGTGGTACATGACCCTTTTTGAATTATGGTCTTCTCAGGGTATATGCCCAGTAGTGGGACTGCTGGGTAGTATGGTAGCTCTATTTTTAGTTTTTTGAGGAACCTCCATACTGTTCTCCATAGTGGCTGTATCAATTTACACTCCCACCAAGAGTGCAAGAGGTTCCCTTTTCTCCACACCCTCTTCAGCATTTATTGTTTCTAGACTTTTTGATGATGGCCATTCCGACTGGTGTAAGGTGATACCCCATTATAGTTTTTTTGGTTTGTTTGTTTGTTTTGGGGGTACGCAGGCTTCTCACTGTTGTGGCCTCTCTCGTTGCGGAGCACAGGCTCCAGACGCGCAGGCTCAGTGGCCACGGCTCATGGGCCTAGCCGCTTCGCGGCATGTGGGATCTTCCCAGACCAGGGCACGAACCCGTGTCCCCTGCATCAGCAGGCGGACCTCTCAACCACTGTGCCACCAGGGAAGCCCCTCATTATAGTTTTGATTTGCATTTCTCTAATGATTAGTGATGTTGAGCATCCTTTCATGTGTTTGTTGGCACTCTGTATATCTTCTTTGGAGAAATGTCTATTTAGGTCTTCTGCCCATTTTTGGATTGGATTGTTTGTTTGTTTTTGATATTGAGCTGCATGAGCTGCTTGTATATTTTGGAGATTAATCCTTTATCAGTTGCTTCATTTGCAAATAATTTCTCCCATTCTGAGGGTTGTCTTTTCGTCTTGTTTATGGTTTCCTTTGCTGTGCAAAAGCTTTTAAGTTTCTTAAGTCCCATTTGTTTATTTTTGTTTCCATTTCTCTAGGAGGTGGGTCAAAAAGGATCTTGCTGTGATTTACATCATAGAGTGTTCTGCCTATGATTTCCTCTAAGAGTTTTATAGGGTCTGGCCTTACATTTAGGTCTTTACTCTATTTTGAGTTTACTTTTGTGTATGGTGTTAGGGAGTGTTCTAATTTCATTCTTTTAAATGTAGCTGTCCAGTTTTCCCAGAACCACTTACTGAAGATGCTATCTTTTCCCCATTGTATATTCTTGCCTCCTTTATCAAAGATAAGGTGACCATATGTTCGTGGGTTTATCTCTGGGCTTTCTATCTTGTTCCATTGATCTATATTTCTGTTTTTGTGCCAGTAGCATACTGTCTTGGTTACTGTAGCTTTGTAGTATAGTCTGAAGTCAGGGAGCCTGATTCCTCCAGCTCCGTTTTTCTTTCTCAAGATTGCTTGGGCTATTCAGGGTCTTTTGTGTTTCCATACAAATTGTGAAATTTTTTGTTCTAGTTCTGTGAAAAATGCCAGTGGTAGTTTGATAGGGATTGCACTGAATCTGTAGATTGCTTTGGGTAGTATAGTCATTTTCAAAATGTTGATTCTTCCAATCCAAGAACATGGTATGTCTCTCCATCACTTTGTGTCATCTTTAATTTCTTTCATCAGTGTCTTATAGTTTTCTGCATACAGGTCTTTTTTCTCCTTAGGTAGGTTTATTCCTAAGTATTTTATTCTTTTTGTTGCAATGGTAAATGGGAGTGCTTCTTTAATTTCTCTTTCAGATTTTTCATCATTAGTATATAGGCATGCAAGAGATTTCTGTGCATTAATTTTGTATTCTGCTACTTTACCAAATTCATTGATTAGCTCTAGTAGTTTTCTGGTAGCATCTTTAGGATTCTCTATGTATAGTATCATGTCATCTGCAAACAGTGACAGTTTTACTTCTTCTTTTCTGATTTGGATTCCTTTTATTTCTTTTTCTTCTCTGATTGCTGTGGCTAAAAATTCCAAAACTATGTTGAATAATAGTGGTGAGGGCTTCCCTGGTGGCACAGTGGTTGAGAGTCTGCCTGCCAATGCAGGGGACATGGGTTCGTGTCCCGGTCTGGGAAGGTCCCACATGTTGCGGAGCGGCTGGGCCTGTGAGCCATGGCAGCTGGGCCCGTGAGCCATGGCTGCTGAGCCTGCGTGTCCGGAGCCTGTGCTCCACAATGGGAGAAGCCACAGCAGTGAGAGGCCCGCATACTGAAAAAAAAAAAAAAAAAAAAAAGTGGTGAGAGTGGGCAACCTTGTCTTGTTCCTGATCTTAGTGGAAATGGTTTCAGTTTTTCACCATTGAGAATGATGTTGAATAGCTTGTTTTCTCTCTCTGGGTAGATACTGTGCCTTCCTTACTTTTCTAACACCAGTCCCCTCAACTCCCATAAATGAATCCTAATAATATTGGTGGAATAAATGAAACTGCAATTTAGGTATCAAACAGGTTAAGTTTTCCCCATTCTTTTTCTGGTAGGAGTATAGCTTTGAAGTCTGAGAGAGACGAATTTGAATCTGGGCTCTGCAATCACTGTATGATGGTAGTAAGTTACCCAATATATGTTGGCCTTGATTTCCCATCTGCAAAATTGCATTGCACTTGTGACCTGCAAGGCTTGCATCAAATCTTACAGGTACTCATATTTGCTCAGTAAGGGTTAGTTAATCTCTTCTTTCTCTCCCAACGCCGTCAGAGTAGTAATTTACTCCCTTCAGAAAATAAAATTTATGAAATATTCTATGTCTATAAATATTATTATATATTGATATTTCTTTTACCTTAAATGAATTGTAACATTAAATGTAGTGATAGAGAAAATTAGAAAAAAATCCTTTTATAAAGTTTCTCTCATGATTTTTGAAGGGCATATGAACAGATAACATGGGCCAAACAAAAGTGTTTTTCTTTTATGTATCTTTCAAATTTCAAGGGTAGTATTTACATTGTTTTTGGGAATAGTCAGTATTTCACCTATGGGGAAATAAAACAAATTTCAATATTGTGTTATGGCAAAAGCAGTAAAAAATATGAGTACCATTAGTTAGCAATATCCTTACAGCCAAAAAAACAAAACAACAACAAAAAATCTTTTCTAATAGGAAAAAATGAAACAAACAGAATTGGCATGATATCACATATTAAGATATTTGGATCTCTTATATAGAAATCTGGGAGATGCTTTGAAAACCATACTTAAACCATTTTAGCATTAAACCTTCAAAATGCTGAAAGTTGTTTAGAAATAATAGTTAATAATACTGAGCACCAGATGATTGAAACATTACAACGAGTCAACTTTACCACAGAGTGAGTCAACCAGATCTTTACGTATCAATATGGATGAATTTCTAAATATAATGTTGGGTGAAAGCAAGGTGCAAAAGAATATCTGCAGTATGATGCCATTTATACAAACTTTCAAAATGTAAATGATCATACAGGACATTGTTTCATATATATGTCATTAAATTTAGGACATGATTAAACATAGGAAGGTTATATCATCTTCAGGATTACAACACATTTTAGGAAGAAGGGAAAGGTTTATCTCTTTAGAAAAGATTTCAACAAAGCTGAATGTTAGCATTTTTTCAAATTCATGTGGCTGATACTCAGGTATTTCTTATAATATTTCCCATATTTCACTTTGGAAATTTTGTAAGCTTTCTTGATTAAAAATAAAATAATAAAGAAATAATGAAAAGAGAAAAGTGCATACTGCTACGGCGGATTTAAGACTGGATATTCAGTACTTCCAGTAACAAGAGATTACATGAAAATGCAGCCTTTATTTCCTAGAATAAGAAATCATTCATCTGTACTCTTTCTGAAATATTATTCTGCTTTTATCAGAGGAATTTTGAGTTCAAAGATGTAACATGAAAGAAAATATTCTTTCTGCTTGTAAACTGAGCTAAAGTGTACACACTCCTTTATTTACTCATGCAACAACTGTAAAGTAACAAGTACAAACCTAAAATAAACGGTTCCCTGCCATCTCTTTGGGTAAGTGCATTGTCTTTTTTTCTTCCTTAATCAGAGAGAACCAACTCAACACAAACAAGAATCTGATGACTAGGCATTTCTACCACAACTAGCCTCACAATAACAGCTGGGCTGACATTCTTTCCAGTGCCTTGATCCCAGATCCCAGTATACAACCTTGGGTGAACTTCTATACCTATACCTACCTACCTCCTCTCTCTCTGCCTCATGCCCCTAATCTATAAAAGGAGCAACCTTATATCTACTCACAGGGTTGTTATACAGAATAAATGGTTTAGTTCATGTGAAGTAAGTCATGTAGGATCACAAATGGCACATAGTAAGTGTTGAGAAGACACTATTGGTATTGTTAACCATAGCAGGAGAGACAGGCTTAGTTCAATTCTATTTCAGAGAAAGATTTTTTCATTCATTTACTATGAAATCATTCAAAGCATTATGAAATGCTATTTTAATAATCCTAAGTCTATTAGCTGTAGAATGCATGTATATTTTTCCCTTATCAAAATGAATTGATACTTATTTAATAAAGATTTTTTAAAAAATGTGGTTAACAAAGGTTTAGTTTCCACAATTGTGGGTTAACTCTTTTATTGTAGAGAGGATAGGGTCTTACCTATTCAAAGAAGTAGTAAAATGGTAAAGTTTGTTATATTGTGTTCTCAAAGGGTTGATAATATGTTCTGGTTTCTTTCTGTAAAAAAAAGATGTTAGGAAATTAATAATTTAATCTCTGATCCATGTATATCAATTACATCATGTAGGTCAATACTAAATTCAACTCATGGCTTTATTCTTATATTGGGTAACTGAGACTATGAGATAAATTTCATGATGGTTCCCTATAGTCATACACTGAGCTAGGTCCTTTTCTGAGTGTTTCGAATAGAGAAGTGAAAATGCTAACTGTTGCAGATTTTTTCTTACTTTTTAGCTTCACTCCAGTGAAGCTTTTAAAAAGAAAAAATAATATTTTAAATTGTTTAAATTGTCTTCAGCTAATAAATAGTAGGCAATTGTATTCTCTCCCAAGAGAATATATTTGTCCTGGTAAATTGTTAATTACATCCAGTAAGCTTTAAAGCACTGGGCCTCTAGCTCAGTCTGCACTGATTCTCTACAGCACAGGATGGAAGGGAATTTTTTAACAACTAATTATATTTTCTGTCTAGAGTACTAAACTTATTTTGACATTCAGGATCCTAAAAGTCATTCTGGATTAGTAGTTCTGCTTAGAAATTCCACTAGAACAATACAAAGTATTTCTTACTGAAATAAATACAATTACTAGAAGGCACTAGCTTTGTTTTGTACCTTATAAGCCATTCAGGTGTACTCGCCCTCAATACATGAGTGTATTAAATGCAAGGGGCAGAGCTGAGCCTCATTTTTAAGTCCTGCTCTCTTACAATAGATGTCTAAATCTACACATCACTATGTGTCTCCACCAGGGACTGTGCGATTTTCACATCTGGTAAAACAGACCTCATCCTGTTCTCAAGGAAGATGTTGCTCTACTAGTAAGGAGCCCTAAGAGTTAAACTGAGAGCTATTAATTCTTCTTCAAGACCCAGAAGGAAAGGTAAACTTGGAAAGACATAAAGCAGGTGCCTCAGTTCTTCTCTGTGACCCTTCAAAGAAAAATGTGTATATGGATATGAGCAGACAAGGTTTTGATTCAAAAGTGACAAACACTGACTGGTCCAGGACCTGTATTAAGTGCTTTTACATGTATTAGCTTACTTAATCTGTGAGCATTCACATACAATGTACAGTAGCAAACAAATCTATTAACGCATATTAAAGATAGAAAGGCTTAACATTTAAAAAAAATAAAGAAAACTCTGCAGGCAAGAAGAAACACAGTAGAATTTTCCATTCCCTCAAATAACTTGATAGATATTTTAGGGAAAAAAAATTTGACTACCCAGACCTCTGTACACAGCTATTTTTTCCTTTAGTCCAGCTCAGTGGTTCTCAAATTTGGAATATATATAACATTATTATACAGAGTGCTATACACAATAATAAGACTCTATAATATAGAGTTCTATGCACAATAACAAGACTAAAGAACTTTTCTTTTTGCAAATGCTCAATGACTTTTATTGAATTGTTAATGAATTGTTAATGATTTCAATAACTGGAAACAACATCAATAAATTAGTTAAATAAATGACAATACATTTGAAGACTAGAATATTTTGCAGCTTTTAAACAGTATCAACTAGTGTTATGAGTACTGGTATGAAAAGGTAACCAAAATATAAAACAAATGTTTAAACAGAATGTAAAGTGAAAATAGCAAGTTGGAGAATGCTATACATATAGTAAGACTAAAGAAATTTTAAGGGTCGTTTTGATCAAAAGCAAATTAAACCTCACAGGTTGATTTTAGAACAAAAAGAAAATGGTAAATCAGCTCTGGACTTTGTTCAGAAAGAAAGAGTTCTTGGGTAATTAATCAATGCATACTGAACAAAATATCATCCTTTATTTCTTCTTTAAGTTCCTTCTTTTCCTTAAATTCTTTAACACGCATAGTTTTTTCACTTCATCTTCATGATTTTCAAATTAATGTGCACACACATATATGTGTGCAAGTACAAAATTATATATGTGTGCATGTATATTTTACTCTAGTAAAAATAAGAAAAATAGGAATTCTCTAAGAACAGGGGTCAGCTAACTATGGCCCATGGACCCAGTCCATCCTGATGCTGCCTGTTTTTCCAAATATAGTGTTCTGGGCACACAGCCACGTCCATTCATTTCCTTGTTGTCTATGGCTGCATTCATGCTCCACTGCCAGAGCGGAGTAGTTGTGACAGAGACCATGTGGTCCTTTATATATTTACGTATCACCCCAAATATTTACTATCTGGCCCTTTACAGAAAATGTTTGTTTACACCTGCTACCAAGGAACATGTTCGTCATTTGAGTAACACTAAAAACAATATTGAAAAATAATCCCCTGTCTTTTAAAGTTTTTCCAAAAATTAACTCAATAGTTATATATGAATGAGAGAAATTCCAGCCTTAAACACTTAAAAACTAATTTAATTCCAACAGAACTGGAGAATTATTGGCCAAAGGATGAGATGATTATTTGAAAGTTGACCGTGCCCTGCCCAGCACCTATTAGTCATAAAATTAATGCCCCATTTACCCATCATCCAGACTTTTGTGTGGTTTTTTTGTTTGTTATAAAATTAAAATGACTATCTTTTTTCTAGGCTTTATTTTATGAGAAAAAGATAAATGTCATCTGGGAATTATTATTATTTTTTTTTAGTTAATTTTTTATTTGTTTTATTTTGGGCTATTTTGGGTCTTCGTTGCTGCGTGCAGGCTTTCTCTGATTGTGTTGAGCAGGGGCTACTCTTCGTTGCAGTGTGCGGGCTTTTCATTGTGGTGGCTTCTCTTGTTGCAGAGCACGGGATCTAGGCACGCGGGCTTCAGTAGTTGTGGCACACGGGCTCAGTAGTTGTGGCTCACGGGCTCTGGAGCACAGGCTCAGTAGTTGTGGCACACAGACTTAGTTGTTCCACAGCATGTGGGATCTTCCCGGACCAGAGCTCGAACCCGTGTCCCCTGCACTGGCAGGCAGATTCTTGACCACTGCACCACCAGGGAAGTCCCTGGGAATTATTTTTAAAAAGCAACTTATGGCCTATTCCATAAGGCACATAAAATCGAATAGTCATTTTAAATTAACATAGTGCAGTTAGAGGTGATCATTTTTATTCCATACCAAAAGGTTTAAATTAACACAGTTTTTGTTAAGAATATTATTTGGCACAGTTTTAGTATTTGATATATTATATAGACAGGCTGCAACACCCCTAAAATAATATTAGCAAACACTTACACAGCACTTATTATGTGCCAATGTTCCAAGCACTTCATATACATTAATTCACTTATTCCTCACAATCACCCTCTAAGGAGGCAACTGTTATTATCCCCATTTTACAGATAAGAAAACTGAGATCAAGAGACTTTAAAATGCCCTTCCCAGCATGACACAACTAGAAAGCAGTCAAGCCTTTCAGCCTTTATAGACCCTGAGAGTTGGTTTCAGATCTTCAACTCTGGTTAACAACAAGTTCAGACATAAAGGCTTTGTGGCTTCTCTGAGAAGTGGTATTTCACCAATGGAAAACTGCAGTTTACTGGAAATACTTAGCACATCTATTATTCAGTATATTCAGCTTCTTGAACAAATTGAAATTTACTCAGCTGCTCCACTATTTCTATCAGGTTTGCTTATGCCACTTTCCAGAACTTCTTAGAGCTGGGTCTGAACATTGTCGAGAATCATGACTGACACCTGACAAAATCAACTGGTTGACAATGATATTTAAGGGCTGCCTAGCCATGATAGAGAACAGGATGTGCACTGGCATCACAAAGTAAGATGTGAATCATTTAAGGAGGAACCCAAGACAAACACTTGTTCAGCTATAAACAAAATCAGCTTTTATCAGCTGGTTACTCAGATAAATAGGACATGCAGTCAATGCACTTAGGCTGCATATAATCCATGTTTGGCTGTGGTATATTTATATGCAAGTTATGTGACACCTATAGGGTTGACGTAGAATGATAAATTCATGCAGACTTTCAGAATCTCATAAAGAAAATATTGCCAAGGCATGGTTTTCCCAACTGATATAAGAACCCAAGTTTCATTAAGCAACAAAGTAATGATGAAACCTTTCCTGGATTGCCAGACCAGGATATACTTTTCATTAACCTTTGAAATACATTCTAGCATTAAGTATCATTTGGTTATTTTTCACATTTTGACAGACTTTGTTAGGTAACCTAAACGCTGAGATGCTTGAAGTTGCTGGAAATCCTGAATAGCATTTCTGCCGGCTAAGCTTAACCCCATTGGCTAGCGTTAGCCTACTCGGTTAGCTCTCAAATAAACAATATTAACATCATTCTCCATCTCTATCAATCTGCTTTATGAGGTTCTGAACAGTTCATGTAATTCAGTGCATTTGTCCAGGATAACAAGATTTCAACTAAATTGCCAATACCGCTGGGAAAATATCCACAATCCAAGCAGTCTTGAAACAGGAGAGCAGGTACCAACATAAACCATTTAGTCGAACATACTACTAAGCCATTTCTATTCCCTAAAGGTTCAGAAGCAGTTCATTAGCACTGGTTATTTGTGAGTAGCTGAAAGTCACAGTGAACCAAACTGAGAGTTGGACAGATCAGAGAAAAGATCTTCCTTTCTCAGTGCTTTTGCCAAAGTTCTTTTAGGAGAACATTATGTTTCTTGCAAAGGAAACATGCTTAAAAATATGCACTGGAAAGAACTAAGGACAGTTAACACAAGCCCTATTCAGCACATATGGTCTCCAGTTGACCAGAGAATCTAGGTAAGATAGACAGTAAGAATTTCCCCTTTTAATACCCAAACCTGCTACTCCAGGCGATTGCCAAGGACTAGCTGATTGCATGAAGGTGACAATAGAAATTCTTGTCCAAAGAATCTCAACATAATTCAGGGCAGTAAAAATAGGCTACCAATAGGTGAAGGGTAAAGGACTGGATTAGTCAGAAAAGTCAGTCAAGTTCCTGAGTCTTCACAAAATAAAGGTTTATATACTGTTCATACAAATCCTGATGTGAGTAGGGTAACTCTCCTGGTGGGGACCCAGTAATCTGAC